GGAAATATGAAGAACTGCAGGACAAAGCAAATTCCATTGCAGTATCGCAATACTTTTGCACTTCACCACTGTTTGTGTAGATGGTGTTGGGAAAAAACAAAGCAGGACAGTTTCCTATGTGATAAATGCATTATAGTTTTGCTTCCTTGCACTATGTTTTTTCACTGTGGATAGACAAAAGCATATCTCCCGGGAATACAATAATGTCTGAGTCATATTTGCAAATATTTAATGGAGTTCAATTACTATTTCACTCAGAAGGAGAACAGGTAAATGCCATTAGGAAACTAGGATGCATGAGTATTCCAGAATTTTTTTAACCAAGATCTTAAAGCTCTTGAGTGCTTGTTTTCTTTTTCCCCAGCCCCTTGACTTACCTGCTTCTTTAAAGTGTTTCTGAGACAACTAAAAAGCAAGCTGCTTTCACAAAGAAAATAACTGTAATCTGTGTTTTAAAGTAGCTTCCCCCGGGCTGATGGATTGACTGTTACACAACTTTTTCACCACTGCATCAGATTGGAGGGAGGAGAGCACAAAACAGTTCATTTCCCCCTAATAATTCCTTTGTATGTAATCTTTTTTGAAAACCCAAAGACATATTGGAAGCACTTATGTGAGTTCTTTGTTAATTTTGGGATGACCCTTGGCTGAATTTTTTTTCTCAACATTTGCTATTATGCTTCTTCTATTCAGTCATTGTAGATGTAACCAATAGGAATTTTTGTTATTATTATTAAAATTTATATATCTTCCTACTCCCAGCAATTCTGCTAATACTGCCTCTTCTTCTAGCTAGGAGGCAGAGCTTAAGATTTCTTCCTTCTTCTTGAAGGAAAGTCCACTGCCAATTCTTTAGCTCTGCTTTCTAAGAGCAGCAGTGGTTTTTCTATTTTGAGATCTAGATCAGGGGTCTCCAAAGCTGGCTGGGGAATTCTAGGAGTTGAAGTCCACCAGGCTTAAAGTTGCCAAGGTTGGAGACCCCTGATCTAGAACAGAGAAAATAATTAAGTTGCACTACAATTAGATGCTGCAAGCAAATGAGGAATTCTCAGCCATAAGCACCATGTAATTTGATGAAGGCAAGGCCTTAACTAACAAACCAGGGGTGAGATTCTACCGGTTCGGACTGGTTCTATAGAACCGGTTGTTATGATTCCGCACAGTTCGAAGAACCAGCAAATCGTGCTACTGGTTGGCCCCTCTCCTCTCTGCCCGCCCCTCCCCATCCAGTCAGTCCTTATCGCACATGTGCGACATCGCGCACATGCCCAACATTGCTGACTACATTGTCCTCTGCCCAGTCAGTCCTTAAGGTATTTTTTCCCCTCCCGACGATCAGCTGTGCTGGGATCCCCCTTGCTGTCTTACTGCTTCACCCAGGAGGCTTCCCTGAGGTCCAGGAGGTAAAAAGGGTGCATGGGGGGGGCGAGCTGGGCACAGCCCCCGTGCTCCGTTTTTGGGTTCCTGGGCCTCAGGAAAGCCTCCTGGGAGCAAAAATGTCCCCCAGGTGGCTTCCCTGGGGCACAGGACCCATAAAACGGAGCATGGGGGCGGTGCTGCAAAAAAAAAGAAGCCATGTCCACCCAGTCATATGGCCATGCCCACCTAGCCACGCCCACAGAATCGGTAGTTGAAATATTTGCATCCCACCCCTGTAACAAACCTGTGGATCCCACAAGGAACAGAGATCTGGGGTGTTATAAAAGAACACACATACCGGTTCCCCCCCTCAGTTTGCAAACAGTTGCAATTGATAACAAATGGAAACTCTATTTTAACCATTTCTTTAGGAAGCTAACCCAGTACAATTTAATATATCCAAGATAACAATTTAATAAGGGCTTTTTCTATTGACACAGAAGCATTTGAAATCACTCTTGATTTTCCTCCCATCTAGAAAGTGAGCAACGGGCCAGATTTTATTTTTAAACCATAATAGATTTTTAAACTTGATAGTAATGTGGTTCTCTGACTACTTAATGTAAACTGCTAGTTTTTTGAAATAAATGTAACTTGTAATGTTTTGAAGTACAGCGTAACTCTGAATCTATTTTCATATCAGATTCAAGAAGTCCAGCTGATAGCCAGAGACTACAGTACTATCAAGTTGTAGATAATTTCCCACATGTTTTGTTTGGAGCAGTTACAGTCTATGATGTTGTGTACTGATGAAAAAAATTAGGTCAGCCAGGAGTCAAAATAACACCTTAACAATAAAATATACTAAATAAACTATTTTCCTTCTAGAAGAATCTCCAATCCAAAATTAACACTAGCAGATTTAATAATATTTTATTTTTGACACCAGCTTCCAAAGAACTAAATTTTAATGTGTGAGGTTTTGCCTGGATTGCATGTCTTATAGATGTAGTATAATCCTTTCCTTTACAAAAAAAACCCCCATCAATTTGAACTAAGAAACAAATAACCTACAGTTCTATTACATTGCTTCAACATTTAGTTAAAATATAGTTCAGCACTTTGATTGTATTTCAGTGTGAGAACTAAGCAATAAAACTTCATACTACCTAATTGCATTAAACTGTGTCCTGTGCATGGCAATTTTTGAAGGCACAGAAATGAGAGTTAATGTCCTATGTGTATAAAAATAGTGACTATCTTTGGACAGTGTGCTGACTCAGGGATCAGCATCCCTTCTGGCCACCTAGTGCTACGGTATGTAACACATTCAATTGTTGATGGTTTAACCTCCTCCCCATTAAAAGCTGAAATCTTGCAAAAATTTGTGTGACTGCCAAACTGTTAGGAGATTTTGGCATTCTTATGAGAAATTTAGTAATTTCTATTATGCATTTTTATGTATCATGTTAAGTGGAAAACAAATAATGGACATTAACCTGATGTGATCCAAATATTAAGAATGTGGTGCGTAATCATTTAGACAGAGTATATGTTATTGTAACTCAAATACCATGTATACAGTGTGTCATCTTTGAAAATAAATATTAACAACAAAAACAAGATAGTAATATCCTTGTGAATCTTTGTTTGGCCATCACTAATTACTATGTTGATAATTGTTAAATCTCCATTTGTGCAATAAGACCATAGGATTCTGAAAGAACTCTTTCTTCATCAACTTAATAGATTTATCATAATTTCTTTTAAAAGTACCCTGCTCTAGTAAACATCAGCTACTGGACTCTTGCTGCAGAGCAGAGTCTTAATTTTGTTTTTAATTCCTTATTAGAACATTCCACTGTTCCTTTTCCTCTCCAAGAAAGGCTGGGATATATTTGTGGCTATAATATTTACTCTGAAATGATCAAACAAACATAAACCTTCCCTGTTTTGGTCATTACACAGAAAGACTGTCTGGGGAGTTGTATTCCAGCAAAGTTACAATAAAGACCCATAGATCACAATGTTTGCTAATAACAATAATAATAACAATAATAATAATGTTTGTTAATAACAACAGTTTCTTGTTCCCATTATTTTTTATTTTTTGGTTTATGGTTTCCTAGGGCTGTCACACTAACAAGAATTAGTCACATCAATCCAATCTCACATATTCTTCCTCTCTTCATCCCCATCATGGCCCATTTCATAGATTGGGTCCACATTAAATGACAAGCTATATTTTAGTGTGATGTTCCAGATAGGCTCCTAACAGACAGCCTGAAATAATAGTATCAAAGCCTGTCTCTCTAGCTTTTCCCATTGCTATTAATGATATTGTTTCTGTCTCATTTCTTTTCTAAATATTTTTACAGAAACATGGATACATGGCATGCAGCAGAGCAAAATGTCAGAAGTCATCTTTATTTCTAAGAATGCTTTTCCGGGGGGCACACAGATGGGATTAGTAACATTCTTAGAATATAAAAATGGTGGCTAGCTGCATCCTAATGCTCTGTTTAGAAGTGTTCCTGCTAGCTAGAGCTTGTAGAAAGTTTGCCACATTATCATCCATTATGCTTTCTGATAAACAATAATTTATACCTGCCTCACATTGACCATGCGAAGGCAGCTAAAATACTTTTAAAATTATTGATATGCCCATTGACTTATCAAAATCAAGAACCTCTGTGTCAACATCCAACTTGAGTACACTCTGCCCCTTAAATTACGCTTCATAAGTGCTCATGTTTTATATTCCTATCTCAATTCCAAAGCTTAGTTTAAAAAAATAAAAAGTTTAGGAATAAATTTCCTGGTTGGTTTTAAGAAAGTAAATTTCTGACTTGTTTGTCTGGAAATAGGATTTTTAGATTACTGTATACATCAATGAAGCCCTAAGTGATAATGAAGTGATTAAAACAACAGCCTGTCATCTTCTCACTTTTTTACAATGTTTTTAATGGATGATCTTGCCCAGCTACAATTTTATCTACCAGTTGAAGTCATGGTGTATGATGTTGTGTATTGCTATGGTCCACAGTGAAACTATGATGATGGTAGCTGTCACCTCAGAGAAAACTTGAGTCTAGATACTTGAACTGGATTGGAGAATTAAGCAAGGAAAGAGTTGGCTCCTGATATTACCAGAGACAAGCAATTTGCACTGAAGCATCTATCTCAAAGTGGTACCCATCAGTTGTTTCCTAGGTATCTTATTAGCTCCTGGATCATATCTTGCTTGCTGTAACTCTTCAGAGACAATTCACCATTTTTCTTATTTGAAATATCAGACAGGTTGGGCAGCACATAAGAAAGCTTGCATTTACTGGGTAACACTTGACTTCTGTTCTGGAAATTATTGGCTTTTTATTAATTTTAAGCATTGCTTCCAGAATGGATTAAACCCAGTTGTTTTCTATTAAATGTTCTTATAGAAGAAATATTTTCTTTAGCCCTTCCAGGATTTCTGATGAGCAATTGTAACTGCTGCTTGTCATCAATCACTAAGTTAGAACCATTGTTTGCCTCCAGCCATGAGCTGGTTCAACGTCATCACAGATTATACCAACTGGTCAATAAATTGTGAGCTTATTTGATCCATATTGTCATACATTCCATGTTCCATTAGTCTGTTTTTAATAAGGCCTTTTCCCTCCTGAGCCTGATTTATGAAGTGGAGCCTGCTTATAAGCCCGGCATGCATCATTGGAACCATCATCCAGATTTGAAGCAGCATCACGCAAAAATTTTTGAATGAATGACAAAAGGATACCTGATACACTTGTCCTTGGTGGTTCATTCAAAAGATGTTCTTGTGTCCCACTGGTTCCTGGACTGCACTTGGGACTTTGGCTTCCTGTAGCCCAATCATAATTAGCTGGATCTTTGTGAGTGTAGGTAGGTGTCCTGGCATTTATCTTACAAGAAGCTTCCCTTGTTTTTTCTAGTATGTGCTGCTGCATCAATCCCAGAGCCATTCCAAAAATGTCTTTTGCATGCAAGTCTAGAAACCAGGGCTTATCTGAACCACGATCAGACCCTGAAGTTGCAGGCTTCCTTTCACCACTGATGGGAGTGTGTACATCACTGTTGCTACGTTCCAATTTGCCCTTGATCTCCTGGCATGCTTTTTGAACGAGTAGGGAGCAAAGTTTATTGACATAAGAAGGATCTTCTGAGTTTCCTTTGTGGCTGGTAGTCAGCCTATCAGCTGATACATTATAAGCCTGATTTTTACAAGTTCCACTTGCTGGTGTCAATCCATACTGAAATCCAGTTGCATATTTTTGAAGATCATTGCTTATCCAGCTCATAACATTGAGTTGTTCAGAAGAACCTTGCTTGAAAAGGCAAACTGCACCTTCCATATTGTTCGGATTAGTCCTGTCATTATTTTTTATTACAATAACTTCTCTTTCCTCCAGACTACCCAAATCAAGTTGGCTGTATTCTCTTTTATCCTTTATATTTAAACTGGGCACATCGATAAAACTGACCATTTTACAGTCTAGGTCTTTGTGTCCTTTCGGGCTGTAGTGACTTACTTTACAGACCTCTGCCTTACTGTGTAACCAGTCGATGTTTTGAGCCATCTTTGATGTGTTAAGATGGAGCTGCACTCAGGGCCATAGAGTGGTAGTGTCCTAGTTAAGCAGCTTTGATCTTGCCAGACTCAAGGTATTGCCTCTTCTCTTAACTTCCCATGCTTTTCTACTGGCAGATGAAATGTTTATTTGTGTGGACAAAGGGGTTTCTATGGGAGCAGTGACATCATAAAGTGTAAGTTATCAGCAGCAAATGTATATTTGTATGTATGTTTAAGTTCTTGAAAAAGGAAAGGCATAATTTTTCCTATAGGCAAATATTAAACTGCTTTGGGAGTATTATTTATCATTCCACATTTCAGAACCACAACCATGAGAGAAGCATATATTTGGGGAATTCAAAAGACTTTTAATTCTGCAATAGGTTCATTCTGCAGAAAAGCCTTCAAAACTGTACTGGGATGGAGGTGATCTCCAATATAAAGCTGAAAATTACATACTTCTATTATGAATTCATTATTTGGTTAGACCTGTCATCACTGATTCTTTATTGGGAAAACTGGATTACATGTAAAGATGGTGGCTAATTAAGTTTGACTGATCCTGTTTTAGTTCCCAGGGTTCTTTGGAAAGCAAGTAGAAAGGTCCTATTTATTTATAATGATTGCAGCATGTTATGAAATTTAAATGATCATCATTAATGTTTGTAATCATTAATGTGTTCATATAACATTGTTATATGAAACTGATGAAAGAATATTATTAAAGAGTCTTTGCTAAGAATACTAGAAAATTTCCTAAAACATTGGTTTGTTAAGCTAACATTTTACCTAAAAGGAAAAATTTGTTAGGTGTGGCTTCTTCCATCTCAAGAAAATTGCTCTTTCTCGCCTGTTCTCATTTCTTCCACTTGTTACAGCAGCACAAATCTATTAATCTTTCTCATTAATTTGACCATTTCTGTAGTAATCTTAATGAACTGGATGTCCTTCTGATAAAACTACAACTTCTATATTTGATCTTTGACTGTGATGATAGGTAATACTGAACTATGGAATTTGTAGCATAAGCCACCTGAAATGGCCTAAAAATATTAAAACATAGCCCTATGATTAAAAATTGTCCTAATTTATGTATTTTAAGACAGCAGTCCCCAACCTTTGCAGCTTGGCCCAGTTGAGAGGGGAGAGGGGAACCGAGTCACATGAGCAGCAGGCCGGCATGCATGTGTGTAGCTCAACTTGTGCAAGTCAAGCTGCGCACATGTGCATACCAGCCCACCAGTCGTGCGGCCCAATTCTACATGGGCCACGGCCCAGTGGTGGACTGTGGTCCAGAGGTTGGGGATCCCCGTTTTAAGATATATTTACAGTCCTTAATTTTAGAAAGCTCTTGTTTAGGGATTGTTATTGTTTGAAAAACTCACTTTGTTTTTTATTTTGGTCATTTAAGTTTATCATACAAATGATACCACTAAATGTACGATCTTTTGCATTCACATAAAAAAATATGGAAATTGAATTGCCTTTTTAAAATAAATTTACATGTACTGTTTAATTTAGATTTTTTATTAAAATATATATATTTTTCTACAAATTTTCTTAGTTTTGCTGTTTAAATTTCCCTTTGTAAAGCAAGATATAAACAAACTTTTTTTATCTTTGTGAACCATTTTCAGACTTTGCCCTTTTCCAAGTTTCTCCTTTTTATCCCCAAGAAAATATCGTAGTTACACTATTGTGAAGTATAGTTGACTGAAAGTATAGAGTTAGAGTTGAAAAGGAGTTTAAAGGTCACACAGTCCAGTCTCTCTTGGCTCCACTAGACTAGAGCCTCTGACAGATGACTATCCAGGCTGTTGCAAAACAACTCTGGTCAAAAAGAACTTATTGCTTCATGTAGTAGCTTGTTAGACTGTCTGACAGCTCATACTGCGGAAGTTTCTCTACATGTCTAGTCTGAAGCTGTTTCCTTGTAGTTTTAATCTGTTGGTTCTGGTCCTACCCTCTGAATATAGATCCTTTCCCTCTTCTTTGTGAGAGAAAGGTATTTGAAGACAGCTCTCTTCTCCCTCTTCTAGGCAAATTATGAGTGGATTCTGTCAGCATTCCCCAAAGGCGTTGTTTTTTAAACCTCTTAACAATCCTCATAGCTTTCCTCTAAACACTCTCCAATTTGTCATTTCCAGACTGTTCTTGCATTTCAAGCAAGGTCTGACCAAAGATCTAACAAAGTAGAACAGCTCACCCACCCACCTTTTCTTTGGACTCTGTGTTCATGTTAATTCAGTCAAAAATAACATTTGCCTTTTTAGTTGGATCATACTGCCAGCTCATGTTTAGCATGGTTGATAGAAATCTGGGTAGATATATCACTTGCATGTGTGCTACTGCCAACCCCCCATCCTTTAATTATGCCTACCATTTTTCTATGCAGATATATAACCTCTACATTTCTCCCTGTTAAATTCTAACCCCATTGTTTTCAATTTATAGTTCATCTAGATCTTTTTTAATCCTTTCTTTTCACAAAAACCCTTTGTCTTTTTTCTTCCCCCCCCCTACTACTTTCTTATCCACACCACACACACACACAAAAGCTCCCATAGCTTTCTTTGTTTGTTATCTGAATGGCACATGTTTTGAAAAAAAATATTCTCAGTGTTATGAAAAATACTTCCTGTAAGTAGAAAAATTGCTTGGAGATACCAATGCATTTTTACAAGTTCCTGGCTTATCGCTGCTTCTGATTTCCGTAGTACAAGCAGTTGGAAGTCTCATTGGCAGATAATAAAAAAATGGAAAGCAGGCATGAATACAGTTGTGGGTTTCGTGATGATGAGGCAAGAACATTGGTATCAGAAATAGCATTGGAGCAGAATATTCTTACCATGGCTGTTCACTGGCTAAAATGCCATTTTGACTTGATTAAAAATATAGCCCACTTTCAAAACACTATAATTAATTCTTCTCTATGGTCACAGCCAGGCATAGAACAAAATGAACCTAAACCATTGAGATTGGTGGTTGGTGGCACCTAACTTGGTTTTGGATTGTAGCCATATATCTATTCATTATTTTGAATAAGCAAAAAAACCCATTCATATATTATTTTCTTTCACTTCAGATTGTTATCAACAGATATGGCCTGGAAGGGATATAATATGGGCACATAAGGTACCATTTTATGGGAGTTTGTTAATTAAATGATCCCCATATAATTTCACTATATTGCTTTTAATCTGCAATCCTTACAAAATTTATTATTAAAGGCTCTGTTTTGAGGGGACCAACAGGCATTTGATTATTATTTTTAAAATACAGGGAACATGGCATACCACAACTATAGTATTTAGTCTAATATTGCTTTATGGATCTCTTTAAAATAAAATTTAGCTTTTGAAATCTGATCAAATTCTTTATATAATATTTTAAGCCCACTTCACATAAAATTGCCTTCCTCTTCAAAAAACTGTTTTTAAATAGGACCAATTCTGGTTTTGAGGAAGCCCTTATTTAAATATCTTGTGATTTGCCTCTCTTCCATTGATGAGTTTTGTTGGATTTGTTTAATGGTAATAAGCAACAATTCATTTAACAGCACTAGGTTTCTTGTTTTAGCAACCATTAACTTCTTGGGACTCTTCTTAACTGTCAAATGGTAATTTTTTGTGGCCCGTTGCAGCAATTTGTCAGTATCTTAGATGGGTTATGTGGTGAGAGCAAATAATCAGAATGGTCCTAAAGCAAGTTCCATACAGCATTCTTTATGACAATTTGTTCATTTGTCATATTTATATTCACCATAACCATAAGACACTCCCTTTTTTAAATTGTTTGAATCCTTGTTCCTTTCCTGGGATTAAGATTGTCTTCTTCTTTTGCTGGACTGCTGTGTTGGGGTAACATAATTATTTTTTGTTGTGTACATGTTGGAATTACTTGACTGCCATCTCTTGGTCTTTTCCCCACTCCAGATGCTAGAAATCATCTGAGTAGAATCTTCATAGGCCAGATGCTGGTATCAGTTTCTGGGTCATGTATTCCCACCTTACATTCTCTGTCTTGAATTGTTTAATTTTCTTTGCATGTTCTCTTTTACTGTGGTTTAGCATGATATCCATCCTAAAGCTGACTTGTGTCTCATTTAATAACATGAAGTAGTCAGCAATAGAATCATATTGTCTGTTTAGTTTATTTCAGGTCTACTTTCTAGATGGCTGATTAATTCAGATACCAAACCATAGTTGTGAAGCTGGCTTGCAGAAACCTGGTGGTAAAATTGTTGCTTGCTATTAAATTTGTATTCACATAAAGCACATCAAGGATTTTGGGTTGATTTCAAGAGTTTGTTACATCATGAACACAGATTGAATAAACAAAGTTTTGAAACGAAGTAAAAAGGGAAATAAAAATGAAGAGTCATTTATGATCTATAAAGGTAATCCCCAACTTATGATCATTCATTCAGTGACTGTTCAAAGTTACCTTGGCACTAAATAAACAGTCTTATGATCGGTCTTCAAAGTTACAATCACTGTAGCAATTCAGGCCTGTAGCAGCCCACCCACACTTATAATCACATGGTCACTTCAACTCCCCCCTCTTTTCCTCTCATCTGTACACCCTTTTGACCTCCCTACCCGACCTTTGCTTTCTCCTTGTTCCTTCTACTAATCAATTATGTCCAGCCTGTATCTTTGCCCAAAACTTTGTTCCCGACACCTGGTTTGCTCACAAGACCTGCAGAAGATGGCTTTCGTGTCTCCAGCAGCTTCCTTGCAAAAAGGACAGGGGGAGGCACACCCCTTCAGCTGTGGGAGCAAGAAGACAGCAAAGGTCAGCTGGCGTGGCAGAGCATAGGGAAGCAGAGGCCTCAGTGTGTACAGTGATGAGGGTGGCTGGGTCTGGGATTCACTGCCCACACCTGGCAAAAATTAACCCCATGGTATTTTGGATTATTAAATAAAGCTCATTAATAGGCAAAGATCTAGAAACATCTTTACAATGAAATATTCAGGCTAAGATTAATTTAATACTGTCCATTTCAGTACATAAGTGTTATGTAGGCATGGCTGTCAGCTTTGGAATCCTTATTAAAAGCTGCCACACAGCTGTGGAGGATGGTAGCGGGGCTGCTGCTGTTTGAGTAGCTTTCAGTAGACAAAATAAACCAGTAAAACCTTCAAGGTCATTCTCTATGGCGCAGCAAGAATTGTAGCTGAAGGGTGATTGGTTCACGTGATTTATGATGTGAGAAAAAAAGGGGTGGGTGTAGGTTGAGTCTTGTGGGAAATCTGGGAGGAAACTTTAGTTTCAGAATTCCTCATACTTAGTTTCTCTTTTAATAAAGCACTTTGAGATTATGGTTGTCTCGGAGTTACTGATTGGAATGGATAATTTCTGGAACCCTGACATTGGCATTATAAAATGTTTACCATATTTTTCTGTGTATAAGGTGATACTTTTTCTTAAAAATATTTACCTAAAAATGGATGGGCATCTTATACACGGGGTGGCGAGGTGGGGGGAGAAACATGGTTGCAAAATTGCCGATACCTTATTTCAGCAAACTAGCCTCACGAGTGAAACTTCCAATTGCTTAAGATATTGATTTCTGAATTTTGGGTAAGAAGAGTGAGGGGGGTGTCCTATACATACAGGCATCTTATAGATGAAAAAATACGGTATATCCCAGAAATATTTGCAAATGTGTTACGAGGGTGTAATAAAAATTATAACAACAACTATTATTGAAATGGGAAGGTTTGGAAGAAAAATTCAACTATAACACCAATAATAATCAAAACTTTTGGAGCCAAAGCACTTTACCAGACTTGACAATGGCTGACTATTTTTTTTAAAAAAAACCTATCTTTCTTGATATGATGCAAAGTATGAATAGAAGTCAGAGCTTCTGTTCTCTAAGCAGATTACCAGAGAAGATACAAGCAAAGATTTATTGATCTAGTGTTTATAGTTTAGCATTCTATTAGAGGCCACTGTGCATAGAAAACACTTAAATAGGCTATGCTCATTTCTAAAAACTAAAATTATAAATATGTTATTTCATCAGAAAAACCCAAGCAGCCAGATTCTTGGCTTAGAATATTTGCTGAATCTAAAACAGCCACAAAGAAGTAAACCAAAAGTAAGGAACACATGTTTTCTTTTTTTTTTTTAATCCACATTTCTGTGTTTGTTATAGTTAAATCTACCCATTAAAACAATCTAATTATGTTCAAGTACATGGAGGCATCCTTTTAGTATTTTATTTCATTTTTAATTTGGAAAGTCAATTAAGATAATGTATGCTGGTAAAACACCACTACTGTTGTGAGAAGTACTACTTGATGCTTGTTTTTCAATATTTGATGGTTTTATTCAAAATCCAATCCCTTGTTTATGCAGTCCCTTGTTTATGGCAGTTATAAAACTGTTATTTAAAGAACAGAAATAAAACATTCTTTGGATAGATATTAGGACATTCTATGGATAGGTTGACATTTTACTTTTGACATGTAATTTCTCAGAGTCTGCTGGGACAAATGTGGAAAAACTTACGAAGAAGTAACCCAAATCTATGTTCTACTTCCAGGATACTAATTTTGTTTATGTATTGATATTTCATAAAATTATGTGTAAGACAAAAATTTATTCTTTAACCTCCTGTCAGATTTTTTTTTCTCAGTGTATTCTCTGTCTTTTTCTTTTATTAATATAGGGATCCTTTAAGAATTCAGCAGTTACAGAACCAAATCCGACTGGAAAAAGAAGCAGACCAGTGGTGTCATCAAAAACAAGCTAGTTTCCTCCAGAGTCTTCCCTTGTCCCCAACTTTTCTCCCTCCATCTTCATTCCAAGAACTGGAGTCCAGCCACAGTCCTTCTCCTGTGCAAATGAGTGTTCTCAATTCTCATTCTGCTCCTGCCATGCAGACATCCAGTTCTTTCAACTATGCCCGTCCAAAACAATTTATTGCTGCACAAAATATTAGCCCTGCTTCAAGCTATGTAACACAGCCATCTGGCTCTTCCACATCTAGTCTCCCATCCCCAATGTCCCCAACTGCTTCTCAGAAGCAGTTTGGTAAAACATCTGCCTACCCTTTCTCTCAGACATTTGCTCCTGAGGAAGAGTATCCGTGGTCTCCTTCCCCACCTCCTCCCCCTCCCCCTGTTTTTAGTCCTACATCTACTTTTTCAGTGGCAGACTCCTTTCCACTGCCACCACCTCCACCTCCTCTGCCAGCTTCTGTCCCCTCACCTTCCCACAGTTTTTCTCCCACATCCAGATTGTCCAGCTCTAGTCAGTCTCCAGCAGCCTTTCTCAGCTCCATGCTACCATCTCAGCCACCTCCAATGGCAGTTAATGCACTAGGACTTCCCAAAAGTGTTACACCACCGTAAGTATGAATATTTGGTGAACTTCTCAAAAATAGTTTTTATTATTTATTCTTAATTTTGAAAGGCATGAATGTATAAAATCTAAATAACTGTATATTTTATCTCATTCTCAATTTTCCAAAATGTAATATAGTCAAGGCTTCTAATAATTTAACATTCTGTATCTTGTGCATCAAAAATATATATGCAAGTTTCATTTGAAGGAACAGAAACATTTTTTATTGCGAACTGAGCTCTTTGATGATGATTAATTCAGCCTCATTCCTTGAAACCCCCTTTTTTCAGAAAGTCTTTATCTGTAGGATAATGTTACACTATACCATATATAACTTATTTTCAATGCAAATCCTTTGGCAGAATAGATCTACATGGAAACATTTGCCTTAGTTTGTTTTATATCTCCACTGCTAAATTTATTCCTTAATCTGTCTCCCATATTTCCCTATCACCTTAAAGATCCTCATGTCAATACTGACTAACATTTTATGACTTATTCATTTTAAGATGACTTTGGTTCTTACCTCATTTTAATTATTTGAAATTTGTTTAAATTCTTGGTTCCCGCTCCTATATTATTTTATTTTTAATGAAAAGGGAGCAAGAAAAGTGATTCCTTGCAATATGATCAAATTTTTTTTTTTTAAACTCTGTTTATTTCCATTCATTCTATGGTTTTCTCTATACTACTAAGATTCAAAAACATGGATACTAATTGCAAGGGGGCATGAGAGAAGGAATACATTTTATGCAGTTTTTTAACAAGGTATTTTTATGCCTAATATATTCGTGTGTGCATGCGCACGGTTGCGCGCATGCACACATCTGTGTGTGTACCCTCAAGTCAGTGTTTACTTCTAGCAACTCCTAGTCTCTGCATTTTTCTTGGCAAGATTTCAGAAGTGATTTGTCATTGCTTTCTTCCTAGTATTCAGAGAGAGATCCACCCAGCAAGCTTTGTGCCTGTGGCGGAACTAGAACTCATGATCTGCTGTTTTTTAGTGCCTTAACTACTATACTAAACTGGGTCTCCTTCTATATGCCTTAAATTTCCTTTTAAAAGTCCACTTTTATTAAACATACTGTACCAAACTGTTTATCACTATATGGTGCGTCTCCATATTATATTTGTAATAACAGGTCTTATAATAGATTTTATTCTTACATTCTTTTCCAAGTCTTTTTTCATTTGTCTTGAGATATATTCATATGGCAAAGATTTAATCAAGAGGACAGCACATTACAAAGTATAAGCTTTGAAAAATGCATTATTTTTCACCAATTTTATTCTGCTATTGTACTTCAATACAATATTATTTTTCACCATTTGGCAGTCCTTTACAATAACATTCCAAATTGAAATGTAATTAGTTTCAAACAATTTAATCAGGCTCTTCGCAACTATATTTTTATTTCATTTTAATTCGTATTGTTCTAGATTTTGAATGATCATCTAGTTTATACAATGTGCATTTCAATTAATATTATTCTATATATTTCATTCAAATTATATTTTAGTGTGTTTTATTTTAAACCACTCAAAAAGCTTTGCTTACTTCTTAAAATAAACTTTTATTAAATTAGAATAAAAAGATTCAAGAATGTATGTTATTAAACATAATTTTTGAATTATAGAGTAAAAATGATAATCTTCACAGAGATATGCAGGAATATTACTTAAGGAAAAAAAGTCCAGGACAAGATAACTTTCAGAAGAAGCTCAGGCTGATTAGAATATGAGAAGGGGCAGAATGCAGAAGGAGCCTGTCCCTTTTTGCTTGAAGAATAGTGGTTGTTCTTTGGCATATGGCAAGATGCCATAGGAAGCATTGTATAATCTTATAAATGGCCACCCAGATGGCTCAAGGCAAGGCTTATTTCAAGAAAAGAGTTAAAGAGAAGCATATGTTAAGAATCTTCTTCACTGCATCTTAGCTAAAGTATGTTCAAATGCTAGAAGTTAATTCAAACCATCTCCTTCCTTTATAGTGACTTCTTTTATAAACAGTTTATTTTTTTAATGCTCCTTACAGTTTACCAATGTAGAAAATGGGTAGATGTAAGGCAGGGATGTCAAACTCATGGCCCGCGGGCCGGATGCGTCATGTGTTGGCCCTGCCCAGTTTAGCACGGGGGGAAAGTCCTGATATGTCATGTGACGCTGCCCTGACAACACGAGTTTTACACCCTAGATGTAAGGGATAAGAGCAAGAGCCTGGCATACTCTCCATTTTTGGACATAATGCACCTCTAGGGAATTTCATGGATTTTATTAAGTCCAAGTTACTAGATGAGAGAGATGCTTGGTTATTTCAGATGCTTTGAGTTGCGCTACTTTGTAATGTGATTATTTTATATGCTTAGGGTATAGGGATACCTCTTTTACTTTTGTGCTAAATGAAATGGTTATTTTGTTGGAATCAAGCAAGGGATTAGGGGGCCCCTTGCTTACTTGGAAGACAACTGTAAAGGTAAGAGGAGAGACCACATGAAAAAGGGGAACAAATGAACACGCTTGAAATTCTTTCTGTCTTTCTAAAAATTAAAAAGGAGATTGTAATATCCTTCATGACAAGCAAAGCATTTTCTTTATAACCAAGAACTATGTGTAGTTCTCAACTTAGGACCATAATTGAACCCAATATTTCTGTTGCTGAGAAATTTGTTAAATGAGTTCTGCCCTATTTTACAACTTTTCTCACTGCATTTGTTAAGTGAACCACTACAGTTCTTACCTTAGTAACCCAATTGTTGTGAATCTGGCTTCTCCATTGACTGCTTGCTAGAAGGTCACAAAAGGGATCACGTGGCTCTGAGACCCTGCATCTGTCATAAATGTGAGCCAGTTCTCAAGCATCCGAATGTAAATCATGTGACCATGAGGATGCTGCAACAGTCCTAAGTTTGAAAAATGGTTGTCACTTTTTTCAGTACTGTTGTAACTTCAAACGATCACTAAATGAACTTGATACAGTTTGGGGTGGTAGTTGCAACAATTTAAAAAATATTTATCCTGAAAATAAACTTGCATTAAATTATTCCATATCTGTCTAAATATTTATTTACTTATTTATTAGATTTTTATCCTGCATTTATTACTATATAACTAACTCAGAGGTGAACATCTAATATTTCTTCCCCTTCCTTTTTTCCCCACAACAACAATCTTGTGAGGAGGATTGGGCGGAGAGAGAGTGTCTGGCCCAATTCACAGTTTCCTGGTTTCTTGGCCAGCATCTTAACCACCACACAATACTCATTCTTGAATATAATATTAATATAATCAAATACTGATTTCCATCTGTTCCAAATCCTGCCTTGAAGGTGTTATTGTTCCTTTCCTCCCTTTTTTCTAATACATGAGAGCATGCACTGAGGGATGAGAAATGTTATCATATAGGCAATTGCTACTGAAACTCAACAGTTGCAAGTCATAACAACAACAACAACAACAACAACAACAACAACAACAACAACAACAAGAAGGCTGACTCCAACAGACTCTGGGCGGCTTACCATACAAATATAAAATAAAGCAGTTAAGAACATACAACCCCACAGGCAGTCTGGGTTAAAATAATTATAACAATAGCAAACTAAACACAGTTTAGTCCCACAAACCCATCAACCCCAGACTTTGGGACCAGAGCCTTAAATCCTTTTTGGAACCCCAAGAAAGAGACTGTTTTCTGTATCTCTTGGGGTGGTGGATGCTGTTCCAGAGGGCAGAAGCTGCAGTAGAGAAGGCGTAACTCCTTATTTCCATAAGATGACATTTAATAAAAGGAACCTGGAACATACCCACTTTGCCAGAGGTGCACAGTTGATGAGCAACCAGGCCTTGGCACATAGCTGCATTGTATGGGCAGGGGCAGACCTGACAGGCTGTGGTAGATCTGTGAAAAGCTATCTAGATATGCAAGTGGGCAACTTTTTCCAGAAAGGTTCCCGTACCTTTTTTAAAATCCAGAAACATCCTGCACAGAATTTGAGTGATTTAAAAGCACTAGTAATCAATTGCTTTGAATACTTTTTAAAATAGGTAGGATTTGAATTAGTTCTTCTGTTTCAGGTGGTTCTTCTTATAGCCAGGATATTCTTAATTAATGACATTTCTGGATTTTTTTTTCTTTCCTTCAAGCTAATAAAATTAATAATACAGTTTGCATTGAAGTTCTGATATTTTGTCCTACAGTTAACCCACTCAGTGAATCTGGATGTACCTCATTAGAAAATATAACATGCTTTTTTAAACATTACCTCCAAACACAAAATGTTTATTATCAGCTTATACATTTTGCCATTTCAAAATTTCATAATTATCCTTCACTTCTAAATTATGTCTATTTTAATTTTAGCTATTACATAGTCAAATGCAGATAATTAAAAACCCTGCAAGCAAAATGACAGTTAGCAGATTTTAGCTGCAAAAATCCAGTTTATTACAGGATAGGAGTAAAGAATTAGAAATGTTCAGCTTGAAATGAAAACTGATTTTGATTTTACTGTTATATATACGGTATATTTCATTATAATCAGTTTGTGAGTACACAAGCTGAGTTTATGATCTACCGTTTCTTCTCATTCTTAACACAATCTCACTTTGAATCATTTGGGATTTTTCAGTTCTGACCTTGATTACATTAATTTGACTAGCTTGGCTGATTAAAATAAAAGTTAGCACTCAATAAACTTAGAATTTCTCTATACGGACCTGTCTTCTTTGTAAACTATTAGTGATTTATTTACAGGGGATTTCCAAAGAAATCAGGCAGGACTGCCAGAATTGCATCTGATGAAGAAATTCAGGGCACAAAAGATGCTGTTATCCAAGACCTGGAAAGAAAACTTCGCTTCAAGGAAGATCTCTTGAACAATGGCCAACCAGTATGTAGCTTGCAGCAATACTCTAAATAGCTTTCTTACTTTATGCACATTTGGAGAGAATTTAACTTTGCATTCATGTGGATTTCAATTTTGTATGGTACTATATTCTATTATAGCTAGTCTTGCATAATAAAGACAGATTTTCAAATATAGAATTGAGTTGCAAGATCCAAACTGAAATATTCTCTATAGTGGTTTTCCATCATGCACTGAGACTAGGTGTAGAAAATATTTGGTGCCCCAATCCTTATTTTGCACTCAGAAGTTTCCTTCACTTATATGATGGAATCTTTCCTTCCAGCTTATAATTACTAGATCTGGTAAATGTTGCCTCTGGTTGGTCTATTTATGATTTATTTGAATACAGTATAGATCTGAATACAGTATAGATCTTTGAATACAGTATAGATCTTATATTTATCATTTTTATTTAATCAATTTATATTACATTATTACTTTTCAGCATAAAGATGAAGGCTATTAAGGAAATTTACTGTTGCTATTAGCAGGATAAGGTGGGGAAAAGATAAATGAGTACCAAGGAACACTTAGTTTCAGGTCCATTCCTACTTTCTTAAAAGTGAAAGATTACTTCATGGGCTTTCAACAAAATGGCAGTAAATATGTTTAACACTTGTGGAGGCTACAGGAGTCAGGTATGCCAGTTGTGTAGGGGGGGGGGGGGGGGGGGAAACCCAGTAAATTATATACCCATGACATGACTGGAATCCCTGTATGGTTCACAGGTAAGTACTGTTGAGTGAGTTTCTAGGATCACTGCCAGCAAATAGAATTTCATGTTCTAAATCAGGGGTGTCCAACCTTGGCAACTTTAAGACTTGTGGACTTCAACTCCCAGAATTCCTCAGCCAGTTGAAGTCCACAAGTCTTAAAGTTGCCAAGGTTGGACACCCCTGTTCTAAATTATAGCTGTAAATTTTGACTGTAGTTAATTGGTTACCTGATACTCATACTTGTTTTAATTTACATCTTATATTTTCAAAGTTCTATAAGGAGGAAATCAGACTTATGCTCCTTCCTGTTCTGCATTCCTCTTTTGGTGTCAATACTTTTACAAAATTTAGACTTGCTCAGTAAAACTCACTAAGCAAGGGAATTGTTTTTGTAGTATACTTGCATTAATGCGCGTACTATATAAAGCAATATAGAATTATTATACTAGAGTTTTATATTTTTATCTTGAACAATAACAATAGCACTTAGATGTGTATACCTCTTCACAGTGCTTTACAGCCCTCTCTAAGCAATTTACAGAGTCAGCATATTGGCCCCCAAAATCTGGGTCCTCATTTTACGACCTCGGAAGAATGGAAGGCTGAGTCAACCTTGAGCCTAGTGAGATTCGATCTGCCGAATTGCTGGCAGTTGGCAGTCAGCAGAATTAGCCTGTGTTCTAATCACTGTGCCACCACGGCTCTTTACTTTGTAGTAAGGAGTAGAATACAAATCTCTTCAATATATATGTAAAATATAAATATATAAAGCAAATATTAGCCAACAAAATGAGACTTCATTGGAGGAACAATACGTGTTGTTCAGAACTGTGGATTACAGCTGTCATGATTCTAAACCAGCATAGACAAAGCCTGCAATACAGCCTGCCTCAACTTGTAATCCTCTAAATGAATTTCCAACCAGTGTGGCTAAAGGCAACCCTGGATATGGCCAGGTTAAGGAAGGTTATAACAAATCAGCTTCTTTGTCTAAGCTTAGAACAAGTTTGATCCAAAGGTTTCATTCCTCAGAGACCCCTTCTCTAGCAAAAGAGCCTTGTGGATTCATGAATTGCCAACATAGGTTTTAGTTGTACAGGTAGCTCTGGAGTCATTGAAGTCATTGAGTTCTGGAGTGCGCTGATTTGATGTAAATGGATTTCCTATTTGCTCTGGCTCCTATTTTTATTCCAGAAAGAAAGCTAGCAGATTTCTAAAAAACGTTTATTTTAAAACAGGCAGTTTTAGAATCTTCTTTTTGTCCCCAGATCTCACTCTACTGTAACTGATAAAAATTGATGACACTATTTCCAGATACTTTAAACTCACAAAAACTGTATTAGAAGTTCTAAAATAACAACAGCTCCACTCTTCAAATAAGTCATGGAGATACTAGTCCCATGCCATTTATGATTTTACCTCCCTCACTTTATATCATCATACTGCCTATTGTGACTTTTGGCAACCTGCAAAAACGTTTACTGACTCATGACTAGTAAAATGTTGCCTACCTCTGACAGATATGTATTAGTTACATTGAAATATGTGTTGAAATTTGGAGAACATTATTCATGTATTTATTGGTAGATGATGCAAATGTCTCATTCTTCTAATTTAGAAGTTAACATATGAGGAAAAGATGGCTCGTCGATTGTTGGGGGCTGACAATGCTGCGACAGTCTTCAATATTCAAGAACCAGAAGAAGAACTTGCAGAGCAGGTACTACAATTTAGCTTCCTACTCGTATAATAAAATAGCAATTTTCTTGTTAAAATAGGTTTTGGGTGTTTTTTTTTGAAGGAGTGATGACAACATTGCTTGCTTTTAGACTTAATTTTTAATCCAGGTAGGTTGATAAACATTTTTACGGTCATTAACTAGCATGTAATCTGGTATTCTTAAACAATGACCCAAACAAGTAATCTAGGGTTAGCCTAACCCTAGACCACAATGGCTAGGTTCACACATCAATTAACACACATTTACATTATGCAGGCCAATGTTTGTTTTCATAAAGATATTCATACTACATTGCATACTTATAGCCCAGCTTTATATTTCTTTTCCGCCGATCTTGGCTCCCTAAACGGAGGTAAATTGCAAGAAATTTTGGATTCAGTCTAAAATGTATTCAGTCTTCAGGATTTAATCATTTGATTAAAGTTATTTGGTGTACCAGTTATAGGTAAATTTCACAGTATCATGATATCAAATCTATATACAATTTTTTGTGTGGGATAGGTTTTGTTAGACATGTTTATTTAGATTCTGCTTTTTAATAATACTCCAGCCTTAGAGAGGAAAATGGTCACGCTTATAGCTAAATGTTGACTGCCCAACAGCTCTTCAGCAAGTGATGTGCTAGCAACCTGCCCAAACTGAGTTTGTATAGACTGAAATATGTCCAAAGAATTGCTAATAATCATGTTTTTAGTACTGTATGCTTTTCATCTCTGCAAATTCCCCTTTTTTACCATTAGTCTGAAAATGAACTGCCTATATGTCAGAGACTAGGTAATGAACAAGGGATACCATTATATTAGATGTGAATTGGCCTTCATTTACTAACGTCCTGCTTCATGGGTAGACAATCAACATTCCTTCTGCTGGATTCAGGTCTGCAAAGTGCACTGAAAGATTCCACACTTGCTCTGAGGCATTTTTTTTTTAAAAAGGTAGTGTTTTAGTTCTATAGTAGATTGATGTAAACAGACATAAGTATGAAGTAATGGAGGAAATGTGGACAATTTGAAGCAGAAATGAAAGGTTTTATGGAAAAGCCAGATAGTTTTGCTGGCAGAATTATTGCAGGCCAAGGCATTTATAGCTGCTTAACCAAATATTTGATTATTTTTACAACTAGAAAAAAATGGAATCTGAATTTGCCTTGAACAGGAACAGAATCCTATAAAATCAAAATGATTTTGTTCAAACTCTTGCATGATTGCAGGCAATTGTAATGCAGAATACAGTGTTTCTTCCTTAGCTTATCACATGAAATAACAATTTTAAGATTTCTTTCAATTTTCATGTCATCTTTCCTGCTTTTTCATTCCATTTCATTTTAACATCAAATATAGTCTGCATATTTATTTTAGTGCAGAAGAATAAGAAACATTTCTACACTTTAATAAAATGCCAAGTCATCATCATTTATAATCAATCCCGAGAAACAATTTGTCCGAGATTATTACAAATTTCTCCTACAGTTCTTTTAGTGTCCGTATTTTTTCTGCTTTTACAGGGAACTGGTTCTGTTGATGCTTCTATAGTGACTCATGAGGCTGTGCAAAAGGTTCTACTTTTTTTCTTGCTTTCCTGTCTGTCTTGCTACTTCCTCTTTTGGCATTGCAATACTGTTTGCAGAATTTAATCTTTGCTTCCTTTCCTTTACATTATTCACTAACACTGAGATTTAAAACTATTCTTTACTATGTAGTAAACATCTCCACTTCAGATCATTTTAGGGAATACATAAACAGAATGGGATTCCATTCAAAATATTTAAAATGATCAAATGGATCATTTTGCATTTTGCTTAACCACTTAAATATAATCTAAGGGGTTATTTCAATATTTCCAGTCCTTAAAACAGAAACATAATCTAATCCATATATTCCATTACATATGCCCATTGCTCAATTAAAGTATTCATTTATGTTTTGCTTCATAGAATACTATTTAAAATGTGCAGACCTGTATATCTACATTTTTAATTAAAATCTGGAAAATTGAAATAATTATAATCTCATCAAATAACCTGCCTGATAAAGTGATATTAAAGACTTAACTAACTTGAGTTTTCTGTTATTTACAGGAGTACAAGGTCTCCAGTTTTGAGCAGAGGCTGATCAGTGAGATTGAATTTAGATTGGAGAGAACTCCAGTAGAAGAGTCTGATGATGAAGTGGAACATGGGAAAGATGTTCTTGATAGCAGCCTGGCCCCATATTTTGAGGCAAAGCTTAAACATTACAAAATATTTGAAGGAATGCCAGTCACTTTTATATGCAGAGTGTCTGGAAATCCAAACCCAAAGGTGAGCAGGGGGAAGGGGGGAACACTTTGGACAGTTCACACAAAAATTCAAAGGAATCTTTCATAAAGATTCAGAAAAATATGCTGTTGGGCTTTTCTAATATCCTTAAAATGTGACCAATTCACACAAGTGTTGAATACATGGAGTTTTTCAACTCATATCAAAATTGTTGCATAGCACAGACAACATGAAAGATGAGAATGTTGAATTCTAGTCTATATGCTTTCAGGTTTTTCTTAAGTGTTCAATGAACTGGAAGGTCTATTAGACCTTTGTGGATGATCTTTGGAGCTTTCCCAGCATGTAGATTTTCACTTCTGTTGGTTGGAACTAATAACTTAAAGGCTATTTTTCTTCATCATAAACATGTAAAGAATACAATGCTTCTGTTCTAATAACAGACTTGACATCCCATCAGTTCAGCCATGATTTGTAACCCATGTAGCAAAAGCAAACAAGTTTAGTATTTTCCAGGCTTCAATTCATGATCTTATTGGTTGAGACAGAACAGGAATTAGAAACCTGAGGCTTTCCTGAACTATTAAAACTAACAGCCCAAAGCCAGCACAACTAATAAAAAAAGCATGCCAGAGCTATAATTCAGCAATATATCATGTTTAATACGTTTGTTGGTAGTGGTCCCCAGTGAGAAACAAACCCTTCTCTGTGTATGTATAATTTTGATTTTTTTTTTTAGATAAATGAATTTTATAAATTCTAGCAATCTTTTTGAGGCGACATTTTGTTGGACTTAACGGAGCTAAAGTGGAGGGTAGACAGAGCCGCCCATTCTAATAGATGTTTTGCCTCAACATACCATTGTTCTCTGCCATCTTTTCTTGCTCTGTCAAGCATCCCACAGCTCTGAACTGCACTGTACTGAATGCTTGGAAAAAGCTGTTGAAATTACAGGTCATGCTACAACTTGCCATAGGGATGTGCATTTCAAATATAATGTCACAAGACATTGCAATTTTATATAGGATATGCATCTCAGAACATGTAACTGAACATCATTATATTTGAAATGCATGTTAAGAAACCCCACTGTGCTTGATTTAACTTTTTCCCCCCTGCAATTGCTTTATTAGAAGCCTGGAGTTATACTACAACATAATGTTTTAGTACAGTAATGCTCATAGTGATCTAGTACAGTGTTTTATAACCTTGGCAACTTTAAATTATATGGACTTCAATTTCTAGAATTCTCCAGCCAGCTTTGCAGTGAGAAACACTGTTCTAGTGAACAGCATTTTTGTTTCTTCTTGCATTTTCCTCCCAGCTTCTGTCTGTGAATAACCAGTATAAAACTTATTTCTTGTAAATATGCATTCATGAAAGAACATGTATTTTGTGTTCTAAATGACTCATGAATTCTAAGGGACTTTGTGGTCTTCCTTATGAATTTAAAAAGAGGAGAAATGTTTCAATACTGTTATATTTGAAATTATGTTGTCTTTGTCATTATTGTTAAATTCCTAGTTATACAAAGGAACATAAATGTATATGTGCATGTGTGTATAAGTTGATGCTTTTGCTGGGTATCAGGAAACAAAAGGATCCTTTCTATTAAGTCTGATAGCAAAATATATCTGAGGGTAATATAAGCAGAAGGAAACTTCCTTAAAGGTGAGCTTCAAAATTTTGAGATTCTGACATTTATATGATTCTGCATTTTATATTGATAATTTTTTCACTCCCCCAAATTTACGTCAGCTCATTTAAACTGCATGTGGTTGATAGAAAAAAAGAAGTTATTTAACTTGACAAAGGCAACATGCAAACAGTAATATGAAATACTTGTAACTTCCTAAGGGAAAAAAATTTGGCTACATATAGAATATTGCTGTGGGGCAAGAGGAAGGAATTATATATCAATTATTCTAAAACAGAATTAACAGTAAAATGCCGCACTCAGTCATGTTAATCTAGGACACCAGGCATAAACTCTTTATGTATGTTAACTTGTATATTCTTGGCAAATTTCCAGATTCTGTAATGAAAGAAGTGTATGATAAAATAATTACTAGCTCTTACAAGACCAACATTTATGAGGTAATACTAGAAATTTGTGTAGTATGCAAGTTCAAACTTATTTTTGCAGCTAAGCCTTTGCTAAGATTTAGGCTTTGCAAACAATAGCACAACTTTTTTTTTTGAAACATAAAAACTGTGCCATTACATTGCTCTGTTAAGTTGTTTTTTTGGCAGTGTCAGTATTTTGCAATCCAGCATGTAAGATTAGTAAGAGACCGACCAGAAAAAAAATTCTCTTCGCAGTAACACTGTTCTTGTCAGTATCTGGTAACCTTATATGGAAGTGTGAAACTCAACCTGTATTCCTCCTTTAATAGCTATTGTTAAATTTTAATGATAGCTTTATCTCATGCATTGAAATAAATAGGTAGTGGTTAACCAACAGAAAAATGAAGAACTTGGACGAATTAATTGTTGTAGCATATAACAATTTAGGATTGTTCTGCTTTTTATTTTTTCCTTGGAAATGAAAATGATACAACGATGCTGCTTTCAAGGGATGGCTGCATTAAAACTGTTTGCAGTTGTCGTGAAAACTGGCACAGTCTCTTAATCATTCCTCCTGTGCCAGTTCTTCAAAAGCCCTTTGACTGGCATGTTTCATTCAAGTCTCCCAAAAGATCTTCCTGTGAGTCTTTCCTGCATTACCTCTTTATCTACCAACATCTGACACGGCCAGTGATGTGGATACCCTAATTTATTCACTCAGAGAAAGAATTAATGGTGTAGAGGTTCATCAGGTCAGGTCAGTTTGTACAACTGGGGGCCACATATATCTGAAATAATAGGAAACTTTATTTTGCTTCCTAATACCTATGATAAACAACCCCAGTACTGAACACAGAACAGGAGTGTCAAACTTGATTCCATTGACGGTTGCATCAGGGTTGTGTTTGACCTCAGGGAGCTTGCGGGAGTGTGGCCAGCTCGACGTCACTCGTATTGGGAGCACCTCTGGAGCCAAATGCTAAGGCAGCACTTTCCTGAGACTCTCCTTCACTCATTATAATATCCTTCCTTCCTTCCTTTTCTTCTTTTGCCCTCCCCTCTTCATTTTCCTTTCTTCTTCCTTCCCTCTTCTTTTTCCTTCCTTGCTCTCTTCCAATCTTTCCTTCTTTTTTTTTTTGTCTTTCTTATTTCTCTTTCTCCTTTCCTATCCCTTCTTGCATGCTCAAATGCAAAAGGAGAAACATTTCTCCTTTTGTTTTGTTTTTAGTTTGTTTTGCTAGTCCTCTGCCAGTGAAAACAGGTGGACAGCACACGGCCCCTCCAGGCCCCATTTTTGGCCGCGATGCCCTCCTGCAGCCCTCTATCAGCAAAAATGGAGCTGGGGGGCATGTGCATGGCCCTCCTGAGCTCCGTTTTTGCTGGCAGAGGCACTGCAGGCTGATCCTTTGCTGTTTCCGGGGCAGTCCCCCAGCCCAGATCTAAGCATCCCATGGGCCGGATCCGGGCCCCAGGCTTTGAGTTTGACACCCCTGACATAGAGGTGGTCCTCAACTTGTAATATTTAGTGACCATTCAAAATTACAATGGCACTGAGAAAAAGTGAGTTATGACTGTTTTTCATACTTATGACCCTTGCAGCATCCCATAGTCACATGATCAAAATTCTTGGTAACTTATTCATATTTATGACACTTTCAATGTTCCGGGGTCATGTGATCACCATTTGCGACCTTCTGACAAGCAAAATCAGTGAGGAAGCCAGATTCACTTAACAACCATGTTACTAACTAAATTGCAGTGATTCACTTAACAGATAACAGATAATCAGAGTTGGAAGGGACCTTGTAGGTCATCTAGTCCAACCCCCCACCGCCCAAGCGGAAGACCCTACACCATTTCTGACAAATGGCAGGCCAATAACTTCTTGAAAGTCTCAAGTGATGACACTCCCACAACTTCTGAGGGCAAGCTGTTCCATTGGTTGATGGTTCTCACTGTCAGAAAGTTTCTCCTTATTTCCAGGTTAAATCTCTCCTTGTTCAGTTTCCATCCATTATTCCTTGTCTGGCCTACAGGAGCTTTAGAAAATAGCTTGAAGATGGCTATCATGTCTCCCCGGTCCTTCTTTTTACTAGACTAGCCAAGCCCAGTTCCTGCAACCGTTCGGTGTATGTTGTACTTAAAAATCTGTGGCAAGAAAGGTCGTAAAATGGGGCAAAACTCACTTAAAAACACCTGTCTTGCTTAGCAACAGAAATTTTAGACTCAGTTGTGGCCATAAGTCAAGGACTAAATGTACATGGTACTGCTGCTGTTTTTGTATAGAGCATCACACCCCAAAATACTAAGCTAACTATTTTTGATGAATCAGTAAAATTGGTTTAGTAACTTAGTACACATTAGAAAGCAATAAAAAAAAAGTAAGAATCATGAGCTGCAGTGGCGCAGTGGTTAGAATGAAGTACTACAGGCTAATTTTGCTGCCTGCCGGCTGCCTGCAATTTAACAGATCAAATCTCACCAGGCTCAGGGTTGACTCAGCCTTCCATCCATCCGAGGTGGGTAAAATGAGGACCTAGATCATTAGAGGGAAATATGCTGAATTAAGATTGCAGTAATTATAAACAGCATTAATAAATTCAACACATATATTACTCTTTAAAAAAACCTTGGGTGACAATATCTGGTAGAGAAACCATGGCAGAGTAAGATTAAAAAAAAAATTCATTGATATTCAAGCCTAAATATTTATTGACTGCTTGGTATGGTTTGTGATTGAACCTAAGGAGCCTAATTAGGCATTATAATGTTATGAGAAAAAATGTACATAGAAAAGTAACAATGTTTACCTTTTGGGCAATGATGAGAGAAAGTGAAAATTGTAATGCAACTGCAACAGGAGAACTAATTTCTCCACCATTTTACACCATCTCAACCTGGAATTTTGCTTCAAACACAAATACATGCATTACTCGCTGTTAAGCCAATAAAGTGAAATAGCTGTTTATTTTTCAAGTACTTGTCCCAAGTCTATAACGAAAGGAAAGGTAGGAATTTATTCTAGATCCTTTTTATTTTTATTTTCTGAAATCAGCACTTGGATTCATTCTTCATTCACAGATTATAATTTATTACTACGTTTCCTTCTCATGGTTTATGTTTTGGTTTTGATTTCTCTGAATATAGATCTATTGGTTCAAAGATGGAAAGCAAATCTCTAAAAGGAATGAGCATTACCAGATGCAAAGAGAACCTGATGGGACCTGCTCTCTCCATACCACTGCCTCCACCCTCGATGATGATGGGAATTATACTGTTATGGCTGCCAATCCACAGGTAGAACAAGTCTTAGCTATAAAATCAGTATGCTCTTGGGCACAGATGTTTGTTTACATTCACAGTCTGAATTAAAGGTTTAATTGAGAAGTGATGTCATTTTAGGGCAAGTGTTACTTAAGCCTTCTCAGCTCATACTCAAGATGCCAAATTGAGAATACAGAGCCATTGGGGAATGATTCAAACTGTTTGACAGACTAGAAATAAACATTAAACTAAGCACACAAAAAAATAGTAAGAGAACACCTGTCTGATCTCGATGATGGATTACATCCCAACGTTCTATCTTTTTTAATAAGTTTTTTTTAATTTTTTATAACAAATATACAAAACAACAAATAAAACCTTCTTTCAATTGTACAGGGTGTCGGTTTGATACATACTGGTGAATCTCGAAAAATTAGAACATCGTGCAAAAGTTCATTTATTTCAGTAATGCAACTTAAAAGGTGAACCTAATACATGAGATAGACTCATTACATGCAAAGCAAGATAGTTCAAGCCGTGATTTGTCATAATTGTGATGATGATGGCTTACAGCTCATGAAAACCCCAAATCCACAATCTCAGAAAAGTAGAATATTACATGCAATCAATAAAATAAGGATTGTACATAGAACAATATCGGAGCTCTGAAAAGTATAAGCATGCATATGTACTCAGTACTTGGTTTGGGCCCCTTTTGCAGCAATGACTGGCTCAATGCGACGTGGCATGGAAGCTATTAGCCTGTGGCACTGCTGAGGTATTATGGAAGACCAGGATGCTTCAATAACGGCCTTCAGCTCTTCTGCATTGTTCGGACTCATGTCTCTCATCTTTCTCTTGGCAATGCCCCATAGATTCTCCATGGGGTTCAGGTCAGCAGAGTTTGCTGGCCAATCAAGCACAGTAATCCCACGGTCATTGAACCAGGTTTTGGTGCTTTTGGCAGTGTGGGCAGGTGCCAAGTCCTGCTGGAAAATGAAGTCAGCATCCCCATAAAGCTCGTCTGCGGAGGGAAGCATGGAGTGCTCCAAAATCTCCTGGTAGATAGCTGCATTGACCCCAGACTTAATGAAGCACAGTGGACCAACACCAGCAGATGACATGGCTCCCCAAATCAACACAGACTATGGAAACTTCACACTGGACTTCAAGCATCTTGCAGTGTGTGCCTTTCCATTCTTCCTCCAAACTCTGGGTCCTTGGTTTCCAAATGTAATGCAAAAGTTGCTCTCATCAGAAAAGAGGACTTTGGACCACTGAGCAACAGACCAGTTCTGTTTTTCTTTTGCCCAGGAAAGACGCTTCTGATGTTGTTTGTTGTTCAGGAGTGGCTTGACAAGAGGAATACGACATTTGAAGCCCATGTCCAGGATCCGTCTGTGTGTGGTGGCTCTTGATGCACTGACTCCAGCCTCAGTCCATCCTTATGAAAGTCCCCAACACTTTTGAATGGCCTTTTCCTGACAATCCTCTCCAGGCTGCGGTCATCCCTGCTGCTTGTGCACCTTTTTCTTCCACACTTTTCCCTTCCACACAACTTTCTATTAATGTGCTTTGATACAGCACTTTGGGAACATCCAATTTTTTTTTTGCAATTACTTTTTGAGGCTTTCCCTCCTTATGGAGGGTGTCAGTGATGGTTTTCTGCACAACTGTCAGGTCAGCAGTCTTTCCCATGGTTGTGATTCCTACTGAACCAGACTGAGAGACCATTTAAAGGCTCAGGAACCCTTTGCAGGTGTTATGGCTTAATTAGCTGATTAAAGTGGGACACTTTGAGCCTAGAATATTGAACCTTTTCACAATATTCTAATTTTCTGAGATTGTGGATTTGGGGTTTTCCTGAGCTGTAAGCCATAATCATCTCAATTATGATTATGATTTGTTTTGATATATCTAACAATATGTTCCATTTTAAAAACAATTGGATACTCAAATGCCTCTATTGTTGATAACCAGACTGGTATTTTCAAATAATAATGTTTCCTTATTTTCTCCCATGTTGATAATAAGACATCTCAAATATGTCTCCAAAAATATCCATGCCCTTTACTTTCCTTATACCACAAAAATGCATGCCATCCCAATTGCAAATCATGGCCTTCCAATGTTAATAGTCTAGTATTTCTCAAAACAATCCATTCTTTCATCCACATCAGTATTACTGCCTGATAATATAATTCCCAATTGGGTAGTCCAAAACCTCCTCTCATTCTAGTATCTTGTAATAATTTTAGTTTAATTCTTGTCTTCTTTCCCTGCCATGTATATTTCAACATTTTGTTTAAGTCCTCAAAGTATTCTTTCCCTAGTTTTATTGGAATCATCTGAAACAAATTTAATATCCTTAGTAGTATATTCATCTTAATTGTAGATATTTTCCCTATTAGAGATAATTGTAGATTTTTCCATTTTTCCAAGTCTGTTGCAATCTGTTGCTTTAATTTGTAATAATTATCTTCCTTGAGTGTTCCACATCTTGCTGTCAATTGTATTCCCAAATATTTCACTTTGTTTGTGATCTGGATATTCAATCTGTCCATCAATACTTTCCTTTGTTTTTCTGTTATATTCTTAACTAAAATCTTAGTTTTTTCTTTATTTATTTTCAACCCTGCAACCTGTCCATATTCTTCTATCATTTCTATCAGTTTAGAAGCTGTTTCCAATGGTTCTTCTAATATAAAGTCCAGATCATGTGCAAATGCCTGCAATTTATATTCCTCCTTCTTTATTTTCATTCCCTTTATTTCTTTATCTTTCCTAATATTTCTATTTAATACTTCCAGAGTCAGTACAAATAACAATGGTGACAGAGGACATCCTGGCCTAGTTCCTTTTTTAATATTAATGTTATCTGTCAAATCTCCATTTATCATTACTTTTGCTGATTGTTTATAATATATTGCCTCGATCCAAAACCCATCTCTTCCATTTGCAGTAACATAAATTGCCAATTTACATTGTCAAAAGCTTTTTGTGCATCTAAAAACACCTAGGCCATTGCTTCTCTGGGTGTGCTTCATAGTATTCCAGTGTATTCAATATTATTCTCATGTTGTCTTTTATTTGCCACTTAGACAAAAATCCATTTTGATCAGTATGTATAAAGTGGCTCAAATATCTTTTAAGCCTTTCTGCCATTATTGAGGGAAATATTTTGTGGTTTGCATTCAGCAGGGATATAGGTTTGTAGCTTTTTATCTGTTGTAGATCAGTATCTTCTTTTGGTATAAGAGTAATATAAGCCTCTGTCCATGAATTAGGTACTTTAGTTTTTAACAAAACCTTATTATTTCAAGCATTGTAATGCTTAAAGATTCCTGCAAAGCCTTGCAAAGTTCCACTGGTAGCCCATCTGGGCCCAGTGCTTTTCCAGTATTTTGTCTATTTATCGCTTCTGTCAGTTCCATCATTGTTATTTTCCCTTTTTGCGTTATCTTAGTTTCCTCGGATATTTGGGGTAATATCATGCCCCGTTGAAGTCTGACTCTGAGGGAGAGATGGAACAGCTGGCAGGGAGTGGGAGTATGGCTCCGTGGTTGTGGAGGAAACTGGGGAAGGGCACAGGTCAGATGGGCATTCAGAAGAAGACCCAGGCCCATCCCCTCTTCATCCTAGGGCACGCAGGGAGGAGCGGATAAGGAAGAAATGTGAGTGGCATGGCCTATGGGGGAGGAAAGGGCCCTGATCCCTTTCATGGGCTGCAGCTGGGAGGACTGTTTAAAAGGACAAACTGCGCATGGCAAAGTTGCTGGAAGCAAAGCATGCATTATTCTTGTCGGAGCTGATCTGTGTTTTGGCTTCCTCCCAACTGTGGTTGCTGCATTATCTGGTAGAAGTCTGCAATTAATCATCCTTGCCTGACATAGTAATTCCTTCAGTGTGGTTTGTGTTGGGTTTTTTATTTTTAATTAACTTTACTTTGGGTGCGGACTGCATTTATTTCCTCCATAAACTGTTTTCTTTAAGAGTTTAATATCCAGCTGAGGAAAATTGGACATTGGGACCAAGTTGGACGCATTAAAGGGATTTTATTCTATTTTTGTGACTTGGTTATTTTTGTGTCACGCCTGGGTGATCACAGGTAGTTCTGCTTTTTGCAGATATTGTTTAACTTTTCCTTCTTCAATATTCTCTTGATCATATAATTTCTCATAGTACTTCTGTACTATTTCTTTTTTTCTTCTTCATTTCCATAACAAACTGTTCCATGTTCATCTATTAATTGTATTATCCTTTTCGTTTCTCTCTCCTTTTTCAATTGATATGCTAACCATCTATCTGGTTTATTTGCATTTTCAAAAAAAATCTGTTTAGCTCTCCTGATTTTTTTGTGCCAATTCTTCTTTTTCCATTAACCCCATTTTGTGCTTAATTATTCCATTTGACTTGTAATATCCTTTTTTTGTGGATATCTTTGCAGTTCTTTCTCCAGTTTCTTGTAGTCCTCCTCTAATATTTGTTGTGTTTGTCTTTTTTAATATTCCTTCTTCTCGTATAAGTTATAATCAGACCTCTGATATAGGCCTTCATAGTGTCCCATACATTTTGTAATGAAGTTTCCCCATTATTTTTTTAAAGAAAAAAGCCAGTTCTTTTTCCATATTTTGTATAAATTCTTTTTCCTTCAAAATTGAATTGTTCATAGTCCATCTTGATCTTTTCTTTTGTCCTTGCCATTTGACCCATATTGGGTTATGGTTTGCCCAAGCACTTGTTTCAATATTTACTTCTTGTGTATTGGAGATTAGTTCTGTTGACATCCAAATCATATTTATTCTTGACCATGATAAATACCTATTAGAGTAAAATGTATATTGTCTATTCTTAGTGTTCATTTCTCTCCAAACATCCCGAATACTTAATTCCTCTACCATCTTGAAAAAGGATTTCGGTAATGTCTTTTTATTTTTTTTATAACTGTTTGTGTTTGTAGTCCAATTCTATATCCACTATAGCGTTAAAATCTTCAAGAATGCATATATTATCATATTCCAGTTCTATTATTT